TGTGTGTGTGTGTGTGTGTGTGTGTGTGTGTGTGTGTGTGTGTGTGTTTCTTTTTCTCTTTGCTGAGTTCATCCGGGAACTCTGTGGAATGTAGCATTTAACACCTTTCATTACTGGCTTATCACCCTAGCTTGACACAGTGCCTAGCCCCAACCCTAACATACCAACATACCAAGTAGGAAATTATTAACACTTTATTGATGATTGATTAGCCCCAACCCTAACACACCAACATACCAAGTAGGAAATTATTAACACTTTACTGATGATTGATTAGCCCCAACCCTAACACACCAACATACCAAGTAGGAAATTATTAACACTTTATTGATGATTGATCAAACTATATTACTCACTGTGGAAAACATAATTTTAAAGTTTCTTTCTTCATTTTGGGCCAGAAGAATATATGTAATAGAATAATGGAAATATCAGTGCTCCTAAAACTAAAGACTATTGCTCTAAACAAAAAGGCAGAAATATCTATCATTTAAAACAAATTTCTCGGGGCGCCTGGGTGGCTCAGTCGGTTAAGCGGCCGACTTCGGCTCAGGTCACGATCTCACGGTCCGTGAGTTCGAGCCCCACGTCGGGCTCTGGGCTGACTGCTCAGAGCCTGGAGCCTGCTTCGGATTCTGTGTCTCCCTCTCTCTCTGACCCTCCCCTGTTCATGCTCTGTCTCTCTCTGTCTTAGAAATAAATAAACGTTAAAAAAAATTAAAAAAAAATTTCTCAGAGAAAAGAGACCATAGTTTCAACAGGAAATGTTGGAAAGTAAAAGGTTGTCTTTTATCCTATATCCTGTGTGGTGATATATATATATAATTTTTAAGCATTAGAATAAAGAGGTTTGTGAATATTATTAAGGTAGTTGACACTTTTTTTTTGAAGGAGAAATAAGCAATCCCATCCTTATGTCAGCAAAGCATTTCGGCAACTGTACCTTCTAGTCTCTTGAAGGTACAAAAAAAAAAAAAAATCAGCTCTTACTCACAAACCTGGCTGGATGGCATGTTAACCTAAAAATATTCCTTAGCATTCTTGGGGTAACTTGCTGGCTCAGTCAGGAGAGCATGACTCTTGATCTCAGGGTCATGACTTCAAGCTCATGTTGGGTATGGAGATTACCTAAAAACAAAATGTTAAAAAATAATAAAAATAAAATCAAATAATAAAAATGTAAGCATTCCTTAGCATTCTATTTCTACTGAAATTAATTTATGAAGTTGGGGTAATGCTATATGAAGATGAAATGTTAAATGGCACATACCGAATCCCAGTGTTTCTGGATTAGGGGAACCCCTTTTCATTGACACAATTAGTCTCTACTCACCATGATGTGAAGATACATACCAGGAGCAGAGTATTCAATCAGAAAATTATTAGTCCTATTTAGAAATATTTGACTTTAAAATTATTAGCCAACGTTTTGTATGTAAAGCTAATTTCCTATATTGAATTTTAAAAAAATTTTTTCCTATATTTAAGTTTTAATCTGAGTTCATAGATCAGGCACTTTACATTAGGAAACAAAATACTCTATCAAACACATCTAGGATGCCTTGCTGAATCCCTGAGAAAACTACTATCTGATAACAATAATTTTTCCATTGCCAATCTAAGTACATGCCGTATTATTTGAAACTAGCCCTAGGCATTTAAAGTATAATAAATATATCTTTAACCTTTGCTGAGTGGTAGGTGGACTAGTGATCTAAAACTTTTTTTATGTGTATATCCTTTTCCTTATAAATGTGTAAATGTACATTCCCAACGTATCTATTTTTTAACTTGAAACACAAGTATATTTATACTCAATATACCATTTACAAAGCATAAACAAAATTAAAACGATGAAGTAAAACTTCTACTTAAAGGTACTTTTATGTAAAGAATTGACTTGCACACAGGCTAAGTTGCAGGTACCCTACTTTGGAAGTCACTGATCTAAATGTACACAAGGAACAAAGGGTATGGTCCAGGACCTATGGCGAAAGGGATCTTTTAGCAATATGTATGAAGGAAACACTAAATACTGCAGTGAGGAATGGTGACCTGCAGTTCTGGAAAAATAAAGGCATAACACTGCAGTAGTTTAGAGGTACTATCAAGATTTCTTTTGGCACCTGGGTGGCTCAGTCAGTTAAGCATCTGACTTTGGCTCAGATCATGATCTCAGGTTCCTGAGTTTGAGCCCTGCGTCTGGCTCTGTGCTGACAGCTCAGAACCTGAAGCCTGCTTTGGATTCTGTGTCTCCCTCTCTCTCTTCACACCCTCCCCCACCCCAGCTCACACTCTGTCTCTCTCTTTGTCTCAAAATAATTAAATAAGCATTTAAAAAATTTTTAAAAAGATTTCTTATCCTGCTTTTATCAAAATGATCACCTGACTGTATGGGATGTTTTTCATAATTGTAGAATGCACAAAAAGGTATTATGTAGTACATCTTTAGAGGTCACCTAATGTAAAAGTTTAGTTTAAAAAGAGCGGCCAAATGTTTTTGGTAAAGACTGCTGCTCTTCTGATGATACCAGGAGAAACACAATGAGTTCCAGCTTCATTTTGCCTTTTGGGTCTCTCTGGTGCTTCACGTGGTATCATAACACCATAATTTAAGTACTGCCTTGGCTTAAATTTTCCTCATTTATTTTTCAAAAGTAATGCTGTAAAAAACACTTCCAGGAACGTTATAAATCACATGGTGCTATACTGAGATACTTAACTAAATCCAGAGGCATTCCTGTTTTTCAAGTAAATACGAATTCTGTCTTGTTTGAATACGTACCCCAGATTCGTGCTATAAATTATTTTGCCTTTTGTCACCCACATAAGCGCACACACATACACACACATTTCTAGATAAATATTATTTTAGCAATTGACTGTAACTAAATACTTAGGCACTTGAAAAGATTTTTTCTAAACAAATGGATCATATGAATTTCTTTCGAGCCATTAGGTCCACACCACGAATACAGCGCCACGTGGGAAACAGCATTTTGTACACACTTTGCAATGGCAAAATAAATATGTTTTTAAAATAAAATTGAATACTTTTCATTTTTGAAGATTAGTAACAAGTGAATTCTCCATTACTGACAAATAGCCATACAGATTCCGTTTAGAAATAGAGGCCCGACAGCAGATGTAAGTGACTATTTGGATACCTCACATTTAATTATCTGCAGGGGTAGCACATTATTACTCCTGAGAAGAGAGTTCTGAAACAGGTCAATCCCCAGCAGGCACCTGGACGTTATGGGGGTACCAGAGTGTCGCTCCATCACTGAAAAATGTCCTAGGAATATCTGAACACCAGGGGAGAGAGATTTTTTTAATGTGACTTTAAAAAAATCATCTTCTTAAGCTTCCTGATCCTCCTATATCATCATCCCAATGACATGACCAGTTGTCATTTCACTTTCTGTCTACGTAACCTCATGCACAGCTAGGAAATAATGATTTAGGACTTGAAATTCAAAACATAATGGTGTTCCTTTTTTTTTTCCATTCCTCATTTTACTCAACACCCCTGCAGAGTTGATGCAAGTACTGAGCTCCCTTTGAAGTCAGCTTGCATCATCTTTGATGGAGTATAAAGCAATAGGAGATACTGACTGTAGTTTTGAGCATCTCAATTCCCATCTCAGATGATGCCGATACATTTGTCATTAAATGCGTGACAAGAGTAAATCCTTGGGAGAATTGCCAAGCAGTTAAAATTGGCAGGTATAGACTACATATTTATACTTTTATAAAAGAATAGGAAAGAAAAGTATCAACCTGTGTTTAAAACATTTTATCTCATATTGCACTTAGGTTGTTCTTACTGTGGGTGATTTTGTAACAAATTCTTGTACTTGGTTCACTCTTTCTAATACTTGGAATACTTCGTGAAAAGTTATGTTAAACGGATATATTTAGATGCCAAAAACACTTGAGGCTTTGAAGGATGATGTTCTTCTTTGTTTAAGTAATGGTAAAATAAACCGGTTCTGTGGATGAATGCTGGTAGTGTTCGCTTTTTAACACAGTTTGCTCTTGGCAATAATTATAAGCCACAGAGTGAAGATGAGAGTAATTTGGAGATAAAAAAGAGCAAGGCATTTGATTGTGAAATTCTGTCCGCCTGTATGGTAGGCACAAGTACAGACCACCCATCTCTGGTTCTTGTCTTCGATAAGGCACAAGGGAAAATTGCACTCCTCTGCCCCTTTAATGGTGGGTGTCAGCCATAGGACATGTTTTGGCCAATGAAATATGAGCAGAGGAGCTGGGTGAAGCATTTGATGACTTGAACTCTCTTCTTGCTCTTCGTCTGCAGAGATGCTCACAGAAGTATGTGTGCTACAGGATCAAAGCATGCCGGAATGCCAAGTAAATACGTGGCATACAGGTGCTGTGGAAAGTGACCAAGGAGAGATTTGCCTGCTCGAAACTTTAATTTTGTTGCGTGAAACCATTGGTATTAACGTGCTGCTCGTTAACACAGCACAACCTAGGCTATCCTAACCAATATGTGTATGTGTGTTTGTGTATCTATCTATCTGTCTATCTATGTATCGATCTATAATTAGAAAGAAAGATAATTTTCATAATTACAACAATTCAAAGTGGAAGATACCAAAAATCCATTTGTGAAATATCCTACGTCATTTTTGTGATTCCCATGGGCCTCAGTGCAATATTCTCCATATAGTTCTGTAGTAAATGTCTGAAAGTCTTCTCTAAACACTCACATTCTACTTTTGTTAGGACAATCACATCAATGCCTATTGCCGTATCCCCTTCCAAAAGTGAAACCTTCGAAATCACCTTATTTTTATAACAATGTAGAATAAATCTTGATTGCTGGTGAAGAATTTCAAAGGAGAAGGACCAGCAGGTAACAACTTTATCAGAGCTTTAGAGAGCATAGTTTATTTGAGAGAATGTCTAGTTGATTTGGGTGGCTAGATCACAGGTTACAAGAAGGCTGGGAGTAGAGAGGAGGAGGATTATGGCAGAAAATACGTGTGGCTAATTCTTTCCTGTGTTGCCTTAAGTCTATATATCACAAGATATTACATTCCATTAAGTTCTACAACATTTCCATTAAAAATACAATCTGAATCCTAAGAGGAAAATAGTGACTACCAGAAACATAAGATTCTCGGAAGGCTCAGCAAACTGTATGCTAAATTGCAGACAGACATGTTAGTTTCCTTTGAATCAGTAATTTAAATCTTTCCCCTTATTTTTCCATCTAATTTTCAGTAGGTCACTCTCAAGTCAAAATTTAATTTTATGTGGTTGAAGTGGTAAAGCCAAAATGAAATTGCATGCTGTAGGGGGAAAACTTTAACCTACTTTTAATAGCCCCTTTGAAAGATACTTTGAAGACATGACTTACTCTCATAGTATGTTGACTATCTGAAGAATGAATTATTATATCCTTGTCAAATTTTAAATAGCATGCTGTTAAAAATATTAGTCACACAGGGGGCTGTTTGACAGTAATGTCACAGAAAAGCTCTGGTCTATATGAACAGGCAGAGTCTGCAACTTAATATCATGGTTCCATGGAGCTCTGTCTTCCACGGGCATCCATGGAGGGGTGGGGGTGGGAACCCGCTTCAGGTTTCCTTGGAACATTGGCAGGATTCTGCCAACTGATGCATTTTGCTTGCTGTTCCAGCCAGCTGAGAGGGCCTATGTCTTTCTCCCTTCCGTCCATTCCTGGCAGAGCTTAGACAAGAGCCTAAAAGAAATGGAAAAAGCTATCATTTCAAGCGAGGAAGAGTTTTTTTTTTTTTTCTTAATACATCCAAGAAATGTGAGTTGAGATCTAGACTAGGGGTTATAAAGAAAATGATCCAAAGAATTTCTTTTAAAAGATAGGTTTCTTTTTTTTTTTTTTTAAGTCTAAAAAAATAAGATTAGAAACTGGCTTGGATAAGCCCAACTGTGATTAAAAAAATAAATTCTTTATAGTTAAGTCAAGAATTTTTCCCCTTTTTGTTCTTTGACTTTTCCTGCAGGGAAAGGGGCAATCTTTACCTAATCAGAGCAAAGCAAGAATTACTGAGGCAGCGGAAGCATCATGCAGGTGAAGGTCAGGCCAATTTTCCCCAAGTAATGCTGTTTTATCACTCATCGAACAAAGATTGGGGCCTTTCTTGCCTTGATCCTTTGTGCCTTTCCCTATTACTTTAACAGATCTGAACAAACCAGAGGCCCTTCATCCAAAAGTTCCATTTAGCTACATTTATTTCAAATCCTCCAAATTTCACGTTTCAATATTAGAGCAACTTAAGGATGATACAAAATCCACGTGTCAGGCAGGAAGGCAAAGTTACCTGGAAACAGAATTGACACGGGACACGGTGATTGTTTTCATTGGTCCTTTGCCGTTTACTGCTGGCTGCATGTCAGCTCCATTAATTCAGGCACCTTTTGGTTTCAAAGATTTCTGTCTTCTGTGTGTCTACAAAACACGAACGTTGTTGGTGAAACATTGAATTACAAATTGAATGATGTTACTCTTGGCAACCCGGATAGGGGTCAGGCGGAGAAGCCAAGACTATAAAGCAAACACTCACCCTAGGGATGTGTGGTGTCCTAAATAAATGTATTCTGCAGTTGCCTCTGAGTAACTGCCACAGAACTGTTAACACTCCTGGTCACATGCTGGTCACGTGCTGGTCACATGCTATGCCCGTTTACCCTCATTAGTAGATGTGGTGTTTTCACAGGGGGCATGAAGATGAGGACATGGGAAGAGTGTCATTATGCAAAGACGAAATTAGGAATTAGTTTAATGTTTTTTTTTTAATCATCTCATTTTAAAAAGATAGCGTTTTGATTTAAACGTAGCCCCGTGGCACTGCTTCTTCATCCTTCGAGCTTTGACTCTGTTTTCCCAAATCTGAGGGATTTTAAGTAATCCTGGCTTGTTTATCCAGTCCTCTCCCTATTTTTCTCCTTTCATTGATCTTTCTTTTTCTCGTATCTTTACGTGCCAATTACTTCTCCCTCCTTTTTTTTTTTTTCTCCCTTCCTTTCCAGGAGCCCAGCTAAGGGGATGGTTGCTTTCAAGTTGAGGGATCCATCTGGACACTTTTCCCCCTCCCAAAGTGGCTTAAAGTACCTTTTTAAAGCTAAAAATGTCACAGCCTCACAGGAATACTGAAAATGTTACTTTGAGAGTACTCCAATGAATCTCTAAATACTAGTGATCTGAATTCTTTACAGATGAACAGACTAGACACCCTGAGATTAACATTCATATTTAATCTTTTTTTTTTTTTATTTTTTTTTTCAACGTTTATTTATTTTTGGGACAGAGAGAGACAGAGCATGAACGGGGGAGGGGCAGAGAGAGAGGGAGGCACAGAATCGGAAACAGGCTCCAGGCTCTGACCCATCAGCCCAGAGCCTGACTCGGGGCTCGAACTCACGGACCGCAAGATCGTGACCTGGCTGAAGTCGGACGCTTAACCGACTGCGCCACCCAGGCGCCCCTCATATTTAATCTTAAATACTTTTTAGTCGTTAGGAAAGATCCAGAATTACTTGGTGGCATTTTTACCAGCAAGTTAGTTCCTACTGCTCTCTCTCTCTCTCTCTCGAAAGAAAAAAGAATTTAAAAGACCCCCAGTTTTTCCCTGATTTGGGGATATATACTTTCTACCACCCATTTCAAATCATGAACTTTCACAATATATTTGCTTCCCATTCTCCAGAGTTTCATTTACCTTCAAATGGAACAATTTCAAACCACAAGTTTTGTTTTGTTTTGTTTTGTTTTCTAATTATCATTAAAAGAATTCAGTGACTTCTATCACAAACAGGGCTAAAATAAAAATGCTTACTTGGTAGGTGTTTAGTTGATTCAAGGGGTTTTCAGAAACCAATAATGTATGATTCTCTGTCTGGCACAGTGAGCAACGTGACTTTTTTTTTTTATCCGCTCAGCCAATGTTTGTATGCTCAGTTAACCAGCCCTTGCATGCTCTGTCTGTTCTAAGGGTTGTGGAAATTTAAATACGGTAAATGCTCTGTGACAGTGCTGATGTCGTGGAGCCAATTCATTTCCTTGAGTACAAGATCAGTTCACAATTACTTCGGGGCAGTCCATACAGGGCCTCTGAGTTGGCCATTAATTAGGCAATAGGACATGACAGGCAGTATATTTCTGGGCCATTAAACATATCTCTTGAGAGATTTTTTAAAGCAGGAGGCTAAAGGTCAAGTGACTTCAACCACTTGAGAAGTTCACTGCCAGGACTTTTTTATGACTACCAGAAAATTTAAATAGGAATTATTGAAACTAAGACAAACATGAGGATTTTTTAGCATACACTTAGGAAATGAGGCCAAAACAAAACTTTAAGAAATGAGTTTATACAATGCTGTGTATTGTACTATGGTTTCCCATATATCATGTCATTTAATTTTCCCAATGACCTTGTGATGTATCCATTATCTGTATTATACAGCTGAGGCATGTGAGGCTCAGAGCAATTTTATGGCTAAAATGCTCTGTGTTATGTTTTGGAATTCTGAAATTAAATATTATTGGATTATAAACTCTTGAATTATCCAGTCTTAAAGCATTGTTCTCCCCAAACCAAACTCCACCTTCTTTTGATGAGAGCAAAGATCTTTTTAGAAAACATGACTATCCCATGGGCTAGTAGAAAACCACTTCTTTAGACTTCAAGGCTCCTTTTAGTGAGTCTTGCAAAAATTAATAACAGAGTTTATTAAATAATTATTAATCCAATAAGTCAAAGAATAAATATAATGGTAGACATGTTAGGCAAACCATCTGGAAGAAATTTTTGAGCTTCACTGGGCAATATTTGAAATGTGTCTAGAAACTGACCCACCATGCTGAGATTCTTTCTTGATAACATCATCCTATTCAAGTACCTTATTTCATCTCCCCTGGCCCAGACATTTGTCCACATCTGTCTCCTAGGTGTCACCCTCAACTCCACTCTTGCTGTATGTATAGAAACATTCTATTGATTTCTTATTGTGAAATGAACGTGGTCAGCTCTCTTTTGGGGTCAATTGTTTAATTTTCCCAAGTTATTCCTGACCCCTCACTCAGCACTCGGTATGCCTTGAACTTAGCCACTCAAGTCTAGCAAACTCTCTTGACTTTTTCCTACTCTACTGATTCTCACCTTCACCTGCTTGCTGTTTTCAGTAGAGATACCCAGATAAGCAGGTACCTGATTTCATTTTTTTATCCCAAGTGTGTGTCATGGTATCTTACATAAATGCTCAATAATTGTTTTCTTTGCTAAATTGATGGATGAATCATTTTACAGATTTAAAATTTTCAAACCATAACTAAATATTAATCAGGACAGAATGTTATTTAGTATCTGATTTGATTTTTTTTTATCCAGGCTTTTTTTTTTTTTATAGCTTCCCAAACTCACTTTCACTTAAAAAACAAACAAAAGAAACAGCTTATTTTATTCAAATTTCCCCAAATGCATACTCAATATATTGTTTCTAAATGTATATCACCCTTTATATAATGGTTTTATTATTTCATCTTTATTTTTATAGTTTTTTCATCTTGTCTTTATATAGTTCTTCAGCAGAAGCCAGAGTCCTATGTTGCCTAGTTAGGAGCCTCTGACCTACTATTCTGATGAAGTTTCTTCTCAATATTTTTGACCAACATCTGCCTTCTAAATGAAAGGCTTTTGGTCATTTCAATCACTCACTGATAGGGTGAGACTACATCGTTACCCATAACCGTATGACCTAATTTAGAATCAGTCTTGGCATCCAAACTTGCATTTTCTAATCAAATTTACAATCCGCCTTTGAGCTTCCTCTGGAGTCGTGGTCAGTTTGCCTGTCAACGTGTTAATGCCGATACACTAGTGGATGTGAAAAAAAGTCTTAAATACGAAGAGATGAGCATTTTCAATGAAACCCTCAAGACAAGCCACCAAGAAGTCATTCACAAGTTCTGAATCACATTCCCTCAGCTTTTTCTGAACCCCATCAAAGTTGTAGTTAACATATAAGCATTCAACAAATTCTGTAACTGAGTCTGTGTCTGTATATGTGTAATACTCCTGCTGAATGACTTTAATCAGATCTTTTAGCACCTGCCGGCATTTGTGAACATTTTTGTTTGTTATGACAACTGTAGTCAAATATGCGGACAAATAGTCCGAATTGCATTAAGATAGTGTGACTGGTAAAGGAAGAGATCGATCATGTTATCACACCTTTTGGGGTGGTCGAAGGCAACACATAAAGACCAGTGGATGAGCCATGTTCATTACTGAGGAGACCAAAATTAAGATCTCACAAAATTATCAATGATCTCTTTTAAGCATGTAAGACTTTCCATAGCTGCATCCCAATTCTGCATTAAGATTTCAGAGGCCAGTTTTCTGCCATAATGAACTCAAAGCATTTCTGTGTTTGCTGGAACCAATACTCTAAAGAAGTAAAGATGTTCTGCTGCCCCAGAGTAATTCCCACATGCATTTGGAATTCTGCATATTTAGAATGTATCTAAATATTCTTGCCATGCTTGTCCATCAGTTGGTCAAGCAGCATTTGACCATGTCTGGTTGATGGCATTTGCCTTGTAGTTTCTGGATCTTCCAACATCTTCAAAATCGGTTGAGTTTCTCCCTGAAGCTGTTTCAGCTGTGCAACAACTGTGGTCCTTTTTTTCTGTCAAAGCATGTGGAATATCATCAGAAGAAAGAT